ATTCCAGGCCTTGTGTACTACCAGATCCGTTCGAGCGAGACTTTCTGATGCCCCCATCTTGTTTACATCCCACTTTACAATACTCTTCATTACAATGAACTATTATACGTGGACATTTCAAATGTCGCAATTCGTGCTTTGATATTCTTCTCTACATTTCCCTCCCCCTTTTTCTCGTTCTTTTCATCTCCTATACTGTGTGCTGGATTTAGTTTAAAGTCGCTTTTCTTTTAAATGGATTCTTAATGGCTATATTTTTCTAGTTCTTTAAGTATGTTTACTACCTTTTCCCCTTGATATATCGGATGAGTTTTATTTCTGTGATAGAGAAACGCCGATAATGAAAAACAGTCATGTGTACATCAAGTTGTTTACTACACATAGAAGACTATACTAGTGGAAAGTATAGAATTGCATCATATTCTCTCATATCAGTTGAGTTGTCTTGTTTTTCCTTTCTCAACACATTTTCAATGTCGCTTTTTCTCATTTGTGCTTTTCCTCTCTGCCGCCTCCTTTTTTCCTCACATTATTTTCCCTTTTCTATTTTCATATCCACCCTTATCCCATTCCTGTTTTTATTCTCTCCCATCTTTTCCCAATTATGAAATCTTCCGAAAGCAAAATACGTCTATGGACGAATAGCTGTAGCGTTTTGTTTTCCTGTTTACAAATTACCTCGAAGTAATGAACTCATAATGAACCCCTAGAGTATAATCAAGAACACAATAGATCCATCCAGTATGTAAATTATTGATGCAATGTTCTTTTGCAGCGTTGTTTTGCAATCAACCTCCTTAGAGGTTATGATTCTGAGAATATGACAAATACGCCGGGGATGCAAATTACATTGTTGTGATAATTGTCTAGGCCTACATCATTAAGGCATGGCTAAGCTTTAGACACCCGTAAAATAAACTGTTACTTAGGGGCGGTGAAAGAATATTTTATCATAGGGTACACCCGGTAAAGAAAACAACAGGCTCCGACAAGCCTCCCCCCCCCCCTAAAAAAAAATGAAAAAATGAAAAAGAAAGAGAGAGAGAGAGAGAGAGAGAGAAGAGAGAGAGAGAAGGAAAAAGTTTAAAAATAAATAAAAGTAACAATGGGAAAAGAGAGGAAAGGGTTGCCTTTTGTGGTTTGGATGTATGTGTGTATGGGGGAGGAGTGTTTGGAAAATCAAGGGAGATAATCCCCCCCCCCCCCCCACCGCCATCTTCCATTACGCCGCCATTGGTTCTACCCATTCCGATACTGTATATTGCATCATTGTTGCGATCACTTTACAGGCCTATACACCAACTTAAGTTTAGTAGCTATTTTCCTATATTATAATTATGAAAACACTGGAGAGATATACACAGCCATCTTTGCAACAATACGCTATTCATTAGATGATTAAACAACCATCCAAGGCTCTTTAAAAAAAAACTAATTAGCATTGGAATGTTATATGCCTGTCTTAATTAGCATGTCAACGGTGCTATATTGAAAGCATCAGCCTTCACAATTTGATGAAAAGTGACATGTAAACCCGCCCGAAATTGGTCTTTGATGATGATTAAAATGTCATTAAGTCACCGCATTGAACTACTATTAAGTCTTCAAAATATTGCATAATTTGGCATTTAGCTCATAGCGTAATAAGCATTATAAAGTGACATTCATTGATGTAGATCATGCATTATTCAGGCTGAACACAAAACTATGTTTTCTGTATAGATCTTTGCAGTAAATTGAGACTCTGCAATTTTGATAGCTTTAGGATCTATAACCAGTTTGTTAGTCTTAAACAAAATGTTAATTTACAAAGAAAACGATGGCGATGGCAATCGATATTGGACAATTTTAATATAAATAATGCGTCACTTATTGAAAACGTCAGAGAATATAACAATGACATAACATTCCTACGATGATTGCCCTTGGTTTTGCCCTCGATGTTGATTTTTTGAAAGTCTGTGCGATCATGTTAATGGCACTCGTAATAACTTCATTATAAATGTAAAGCAAAACAATAATTATTGAGGTCTTGAACATCTTCATCTTTGATATCTTAAATCCTATGTTTTGTTGTTGTTGAAAGTACAAAATAACCGTGCTATAAAATAATGATATTGTATGTTATTATTTTGAAGTCATGACACTTTTTGCTGATGCGACTGGATGAAATAAAATAATGTGACCTCGCAAATATGATAGGCTTTCGCTATTAAAAGGCTTCTTTTCCTTCCTACTTGCCTCCTCATAGTCCATGATAACCCCACTTCCTCCCCCCCCCCCCCCCCTCTCTCTCTCTCTCTCTCCCTTGCAGTGGCGGGTCCAGGGGGGCCCTGGGGAGAAAAAACGTGTAAAAACACGCAAATTTTACTGGGCAATGCAAAATATTGATGAGCCAACGACGATGAACTATCACCTAAATACCACTTTCACCTTCATTTTAGAAGTACATTGTATATCCAGACGTGGTTGTAGATTTTCTTTTTCTGGGGGGGGGGCGTGGGAAGGGGCCTGTGTGTCCTTGCATTCGTTTTCTACACGTGCCTCCCTCGAATTTATTTTTAACCAAAACATCTTTGGGTGGGGCTTGAAGATTATATTTAGATGGGGCTAGAGAAGGACGAGAGTGAGAAGGAGGGAGGGATAGAGTCAGGAAGATGGAGAGAGAGAAAGGGAGAATAAGGTCTTGAGACAGACTGGTATAAAATGATGAAAAGACGGGAAAGAATTGAAAAGGGAAAGAGAAGGAGAGAGAGAGAGAGAGAGAGAGAGAGAGAGAGAGAGAGAACACACAAATGAGAGGGAGGAAGAGTAAGATATGCAGGAGATGAGAGGAGATAGGGAGATAGATAGTGTCCATGTGAGAGACAGGAAGAGAATGGAGAATGGAGTTAGGAAAGAAGTGAAAAGGAAGCGAAGATGACAATTTGAAATAATAACATTGTACGTGAGTGAAGTGACCCTAATAAAGGTCGTCACAAGGTTAATAACGCCATTACCATATTATAAAAATGGTGGAGAAGGGAAAGGGAGAGAAAAGAGAGAAGGTAGAGGGAGATGGGGAAGGAGACACAGAGAGAGAGAGAGAGAGAGAGAGAGAGAGAGAGAGAGAGAGAGGGGGTGGAGGGAGAGAGAAGTGGGTATATAGAAAGGGGTAGAGAAAGAAAGAGACGGAGAGAGAGAGAGACAGAGACAGAGAAGGATACATAGAGAGAGAGAGAGAGAGAGAGAGAGAGAGAGAGAGAGAAAAGAGAGAGAGAAAGAGAGAGAGAGAGAGAGAGAGAGAGAGAGAGAGAGAGAGAGAGAGAGAGAGAGAGAGAGATCAAAATTAAGAGCCCCCATTCATTAGCAGTATTCTGCTCGACAGGAAATACCAGAGATGCTAATTAGAGGAGAGCATCAATTCAAACAAGAAACCTTCATTAAGATGGTTGCGAGATACTCTCATAATCGATATTAGCTCAAACAATACACTCAATACCAGGGCAATATTTACCCCCGCCCTATATAATCATGATAATTATGATTCCATGCATTCTCTGCCCTCTTTCACCGACGATTTCTTTTTTCTTAAAATTTTTAAAATTCCTCATGCAGTCTCCTTCTACGCAACTCCTTTGACCCCTTTTTTCTCTCATTCTGGGCCCTAGCTCCCTCCTTTCTCCCTATCAGAAAAAAAATCTACCATCTACCCTCTCTCTTTTTCTCTTTTTCTTTTCTCTCTTACACTCTCTCATTCTGGGCTCTCCCTTGTCCCTATTTAAAAAAAAAAAAAAATCTTCCACCCTTTCTTTCTCTCTCCCTCCCCTTCCCTCCCTCTCTCTCTCTCTCTCTCTCTCAAATTCAATTCAGTTCAATGTTAGCGCTCATAACGTAGTATGGACCAATGAGAGTACTACCATTATCAGGTTTTCAATTAATATTTGCAGCAGCAGCACCTGTCCCTCACACCAGGCACCAGATACTAAAATCAAACGCCCACAATCTATCTCATCCTTAAAGGGAACAAAAATCAAAATGCGATGAAAAGTTTTGGATTAAGATAGCTCAGTCATATTTATTTTGCCATTTCGCACTGCAAGCATTTACACAATTCTGGAAATTAGGAACTACAAAATGCAGGACCGTTGAGAAATATTATGTAGAATGTACGCTATGTTTCGCATATAGAGAGAATTGCACTTAAAGTTTCCTTAGACCTTGTGACAATTTTGCTTATCAAAAATACCAAAATAGACACAAATTTCAGGATCAAGTAGACACATCAATACAGATACATGTATATATATCACCACTGATATTGAAACCAATAATTAAATAGTGAAATTGGAGGGAAACTGCTGAATCTATCATCCTTTGTCATTGGATGATAATATGTTTTGACATCAGTGCAAAATTTCATTTTCCCTGATATCTGCAAAATTTTATTTTTCCTTACATGATTATGCCCGTTTTTCAGATTACAAAAAGCATGATTATAATTATGTCTCATCATTATCAGCATCACTTCATTTGACCACAAACTATTATATAGCTTGGAATTACATAATGCATGATTTGTCTAGACATAATGTCACATTTAAGATGTTTTTATGTGTTTATTTCATGTTTGAGGTATCACACAAAATGGACAGTACAATTGCATATCAGAGAACAAACACAAAAGTGGATGGAATACAAAAGGCATAGAGTGCAGTACTAAAACGCACTTTGAGGCAGAAATTGCAATTTTTCAAAAAACCACACTTTGAAAATCTTGAGTAAAAAATGGCAACTATTCATGTGACAAAATACAAAACGTGTATATATATATTTCCAATTGTGAATTGCTAGCTGAAATTCTGAATGCAAGAATTCTAAAACAAAACACTCAGCTAGAAATAAATGATGAGGATGTGTATCACACGTTTCAAGTAAAACATCAAATATCAGTTTCAATCAAATTTCTGCAAGTGAGCCATTTTGTAGACTCAATGACAAATCTCAAAGATTGAATTGAAAGATAGATACTTAACGGTGCAGCATTTGTATTATACATGTACATTTGTATATATTTTAAACTCTGCTTGTACTTGTGTGGTAGACAAAATACTGAAGTTAGGAGTCAAGTGGAGTGTCGACATTTTAGAGAAACACTACAACACAGCAAAAAGAAAATAGCTTGGATGGAATTGACTGATGATAGGCGGTCTTGTAGTAATTTGTACAAAAATAGTTGATGCATGTGGTCTCAGAGCCAGCCCTGGTCCTCACACAACATTGTGATTAATTGAGAAAAGCTATGATCACTGTACACGATTAGTTATAAACTCTATAATATATAAGCTTTCTCACATCAATCCTATAAAGAGGGTGACTTCACTAGCCAGCGTGATAGCGTCTTCGATAGATCTAACTTTCATGATTACTGTTTTACGTTTCTTTTAGCGGGAGTTCGATCCCAAGCTCCGGTTCACGGAGATGGCATGGGGTTCTCTTGCCAGGGCATAGAGCCCTCTGCCAGCTGGCCAAAGTCAAAGAGATCCCCGAAGGTGCCGCTCTCATTGAGGTTAATGTTCCTGGTCTCCGCCCAAGGATGGGCGTTCCTCTCGATGGCGGGGGAAGGCGGGAGATCAAATGCAGCAAAGATATCCTCAAGCTGGACGTCAGACGGATGCAGATCAATCTCCTTGAGTTGTTCTTCGAACCAGATCGGGCGGAGGATCCTCGTTCCCGTTATCGACAGATCAAGGACGCTATCGTTGATGTTACTCTCATGCTCTGATGGAGGTGGCGTGTCCATTTCCAGCGAGTCGGACGTGTCTGACTCTTGTCCGTTGAGAATGTCCTCCGTCTTGATGCGCGTGCCTTCGATCTCAATCTCCGATTCAAAGATGGAGTTCCAACTGAAGTCTTCCTTGAGGATGCTGCTTGGCATGCTGTCATCCAGGAGGGACGCAGGCTTGTAGCTCTGGGATCGAGACATCTTGACCTTCTTAGACGACGAATGAGAGCCACTGTGTTCCGAGGCTGACCTCTTCTTTGGCATGGTCTGCTTGCGGCTGTGGTGCTTGGTATCGTCCATGTAATGGCCCTCATCCTCGCTCTCGGGCTCCGTCTTGATCTTGATGGGGAGCTCCCGGAATGAGGCGTGTCGTCTCTTCTTGAAGACACCGTTCTCGAGCTCGTCAGCATGGGCGGGGTCGATGCGCCAGAAGCCTCCCTTGCCTGGCTCGTCCTTCTTGCGAGGAACCTTCTGGAAGCACTTGTTGAGTGAGAGATTATGACGGATGGAATTCTGTAGAAAAAATACAAACAGAAAAAAAAACGGTTAATTCATAGGAAAATGAATCGCACCTAACAAACATACATTAAATTTTGAATGCAATACAAAACTAGAACAATCTGATTCCATTAATTGGTATTCTTAGAAACTTCTTAAAACTGAAGAAATTAAATATCTCTAACATGAACCTACATGTAGAAATAACTGTAGCTCCATGCTCTACACAGCCTTAATGGTAATATTGTATTTTCATCCTAAAATATTATCCTTTAATATATCTTAACACTTCAAGAGAACTCCATTAGTACAGTCTCATGCATACAGAAATGATATTACAGAAATAAGGGTAAAAAGATAGTAGCAATCGAACAATGCTACATCAGATATATATCTTGTCAAACGCAAATCACAGTAATTAAAAACAGCCATGCATCATGGCCATATGATTCTCCATCTTTTCCACACCAACAATGCCGAGCATATTGACATAGACCTCATAAAAGGATCGTAAAAATGGGGGCTATCAACTGACGATTTGACAAATGGCAAACAATAGCGAAGGAGAGAACTCTACATCCAAAGGAAATGCATACAGGTGATGAACTGGCAATGGGTTGTTTACAGGCGTTGCTAGGGCAACTCTAGAATGGCTTTGGCTTTGACAGTGAGGTGGCTACGTAGCCTGTGCGTTGTGCGGCACGCTTACTGGCGTACGTGACCCAAGCCTGAAATACAGGTCAGAGAACAAGGTCTGTGGTGACGAGGTCTAGCTCTGTGTTGGAGGATAAAAGGGAGTTGGGGGGGGGGGGGGGTTACCCCTCTCTGCATGGGGCTGTGGGCTTTTCTCCAAAACCACCCAACTCTTGCATTTTGGTGGGATCTCCCGCTCTAGGGGGGACCAACGCATTCATCTAACACAAAACAGGACCACCTATGCCTTTGTCATTCGAAGGCTGACTTTTCTTTGAATTCAGTAATGATCGACTTTGATTTTTATCACAATGCTCATATATTGTAAACAAAATTGCTGGATCATTGTTTATTCATTAAGGATCCAGTTGATATGTGTGCCATAGGTTATCTCAGGGAAAATATTGATCTCTTTCCCACAGGTTTAAATTCTAATTATTTCTTTCAAAATTGCTATGGACAGATACAATAAATAAATATCCATTTCAAAATATGTACAATTATTAAGCTACATGTACCAAGCTTTTGAATTACCACCCCAAGTCTAAACCAATATGAGCCAAGCTCAAATATCAAATCATTTTAATGAGAGAAAAAAAAAATCTGTGGAAGCATAAATATAACCCAAATCAAACGACCACTGCACCTTAATCAAATAACCACCATCGAAATGGAAGTCTGTCAACATAAGACACTATGATTTCATCGTGGGTTTGTTTACAGGGACCACAGCTGATTTTGTCAATCATTCGCCAACCAGTTGAACAAATTTTAATTCAGGGAGCATTATTAAATTTTTCCTTCTCAATTTAGTCAGCTAGCTAATACACTCTGCAGCCCAGCTAGAGCGATAGGAGGGACGGAGAATTAAGTTTCAATATTGGTCGGATTAGCAAGGCCTTCATCGCGACACAGGCATGAATGCGATGCGGTTATGTGAAGTACCGGTAGATATGAATTATATCGCTAACATCCCACTGAAAGCTCATTTTACTATGCCTATTGCGCCAGTACTCAAAATCAATGAGGTCTCCATGCAAGCCGTTCTACTTTTCTCTGCTATATGTCTAAAATTATATACCCGGTACAATACTGTCATATTCATGAAAGAGTCTTGAAATCTGAAAAATATTCAGCTTGACTGGCATTTTACATTGCATATAACTACATGTAAATGAAGCTTTTTTCCTTCTTTTACTCCACAGGGAAAATGCATATACACACTGTTTCCATGACAATAGTGATGTTTTGAAACCTAATGGAATTGCATATTGTACATGAATATATATCTGAATTTATTTTTAGGACTTTTCACATTACTCTCTCTCTCTCTCTCTCTCTCCCTCTCTCTCCTCTCTCACCCCCTCTCTCTCTCTCTCCTCTCACATCCCCCCTCTCTCTCTCCTCTCACACCCCTCCTCTCTCTCTCTCTCTCTCCTCTCACATCCACCCTCTCTGTCTCTCTCTCTCTCCCTCACTCTATTTCTATTTCTTGTGATCTCATTTCTCTTTATCATAAATTGCCTTCGTTCATGATACATTGTAGAGCGTGTGAGTTTATAGTTTGCATTTATTTGGCAGTTAAGCTGACTGCAATAATCCTTAATCTATTATGAATGCATTAGGGTAGCTCTCAGTGCAATGTAAAATTGGCAAAAACTGTGGCTGCATGTATGATATGCACCTATTGAAAATACTGTAATGGATCACACGGAATCAAGACTTATACAACTATTCTGCCATTATGAATACTGTGAGCAGACCAGTGGCTCGCTCAAATAAAAACAGACTAAGTATACTCATAAATCATTCCCTAGCTTGTCCCCATATGTGGCACCACAATAGAATCCCATCGTGCTCAACTCAGAACTATAGACGCCTCAGCCGGCCAACAATGGCCAACTTATTAAAAATGTGTATTCTACAATCAAGTTTGGATTAGGTTGAAGGAAAATAACATTCTCCCAAATCGTGACCATTTTTGGATGAGTGAAATATATTCAGCCTATCTCCGGTATCGAATTCACAGATCAAAAGAGCACACAACATTTTATCAGCAAACATATTCAGTACTAGAATGAAGCTAGGGCAAAATTATTCATAGGTTAGTTTTATCTCCTGATAATAAAATCTACCTTGAAATTTGCCAGCCTTGGATTTGATGTGCACTAGAATCAAATTTATATAATATTAATTTCCTCAGACAATGCTATTGCCTGTCACACACAATGTAATGTAACTGTTTTATTAATTGCCTCGGTAGGCTCAGTTTCCATTATATTTCATACAGCCTTTTTGCCTTCGTTGCAATTTTCCAAATTACTGGTGAGCTTGATAATGTATTGTTAAAAAATTCATCTAATTGAAGTTAGTGAAGGTCGTGGTGGAGAGGCCTAGATAAAAAAAATGGTTGAATCCAAGGAGATTGCATGCTTATATTACACTGTACTTTGGCGCCTATAATAATTCATACAAAATATTCTCTCTCTCTCTCTCTCTCTCTCTCTCTCTCTCTTTCTCTCCCTCTCTCTTTCTCTCTCCATCTCTCTCATTTCATGTTTGCCCTGCAATATCTATTAATCAGTAATTTATCTTCTCCCCTCTCCCACAAGATACGTGCCTCCTACTTTCCCCAACCTTTTTTTTTTTCTCTCTCTCTGGATTAAAGATTGAATCAATTCATTACACACGCATGCCATTATGTGCAGACAAATTTATTAATATTAGAATTTAGAAGCAATTGGGAGGCATTGGAATGGCTCTGCAGTTGAATGTTTTCACATGGCTAATCTAGCTTAATGAGGTTGACTCTAGAATAGAATGTATTTCAAGAGCTTCAAGTAAAAATCTAGGGGCAAAAACAAAAACAAAATAAAAATAGGCCCAGGCTTCCATCGCCAATTTGAAGTAATTCTGTGAATCAAATCCTGTCTTTTCCTTCAAGACGATCAAGATTTCTAATGATGAATCATTTCTAGTTTGTTTGTGCTACATGGAAATATTAACTTTCAAATCTTGTAAGATTTTATAACCATAAATTTATAGAGTTAAACACATGCACATTGTATTTATTTTCCAATCATATTAAAAAGACAAATAACATATGACATAAAACGAAATGAAACATAACAGAATTAAAAAAAATAAATACATGTGTATATAGATTGCTTAAAAATGATTGGCTGGATTGCCCGTTCAGTGTCATAAAAATATATGACACTGTTCTTCCTGGGGGTCCAGTGAGTATCTCACTCACTGGTGAATATATAAATATGAACATACATGTACATTTTATATAGTTAATGCTGAAGTTTAAGTCAAGTTCTTAATCGTAATCGCCAGAAATCATAACAAATGCTAATTATTATCATTTTCAACTAATTTGAGATCCTTATAGCCTGATACGAGCAATAGTTACAAATTTGTCAACAGCATTTAAAGGGACTGTGCATACGTGTACAAACATGTATACAGTAGCATTTACCCATCACAATACCATTGTCCGAACGGCATCCATCTTAATAAAGCAAGGATTGGATCGATGGATGGAGAGGTATTCCAATAGAGAAGGGGCTCTCGATGACAATAGCCCTGGCTCTCCATGGCGTATAAACCAATCAATACTGGCACTGCTAGTCCATTTAACCCGACAAGACCAGGCCTTGCTCAAACAAAAGAGCTTTCTTCAAGATGCATCTTCTTTTCATAACTTTTGAAGCGGCCCCTTCTTCTCCCCCCCCCCCCTCGATATCTCTCTGTCCTCTGTTTCCCCCCTTTTCATCAGTGTTCCTGACTAAATAATGCCTGCTTTTGTTGTTTGTGTTCAGTGCGAAGCCTCTCTTTTTCATCTTTGATCAGCTCAGTTGATGTGTGAAGACTTTGGATGTTTAATTGGGATTCAAATCCTGTTCGAACATGCTCAAAGTGTTTTCCTTTTATAGACCCCCACTTCAGGTAAAGGGTATTGTTTGATCTTACATTATTTACATTGCATTGCTACATCATTGTAAAGGAAGTTATCAAGTCATTACCGCACATTATCATGTAAATTTATCATACTTGCATAAAAAGACCCCAGATATTTTGTGACATAAAATGAATGATGCTAAAAAAGCATCATGGATTTTACCTTCAATTTGATTTAAACTTATCTAATCATCATACAATGACATGCATGGCATGCACCTCCCCCCCTTCAGCCTTTAAACTTCTATTAAATCTTCTTTTTCAATCGCTCTTGCTACATGTACGCTTGTTGTAAATTTATTAAAAGAACATTGCAAATGATTCCAGAGTCACGTACACGTAGGCTGCATGCCCCTTTTTATCAGAGGTTTATTATCCTTTTGTTCTTTCAAATGTCAGGGATATTCATTTATTTGGCCCGACACACTTTTGTGTCCTTTAAACACGTTCAATAAATTGTATATAATGAACATTCAATCAATACTTGCATATGAATAGGCAGACCCTTTCTGCCACTGACAGGGCAGTTCAAAAGACAATGAGAACAAGGAAAAAAAGAATGATTTATACTAAAAGTGGTTCAAATCAATAAAAAGGTCAATTTACGTGTAATGGCAAAAGAAATTCAGTGGCTGTCAATAATTCATTGTCCGGCATTTTTATATCTAGCTTTCCTTCAATACATCTCCAATCGAAGCAAGTTTTTCCCTGCGAGCCTTTGACGTAGAATCACAGACACGTTTCAGCTACTGCCACTTATATAGATGATCAATAACTGTGCAACACACTTCACTGCTGATTGAAATTTTTCATCAAGCTAATCGAAAATTCAGAGAAATGATCGAGAAAGAGCGATCTAATTGTCTGCATCAGTAGTTGGGATTGTATCAAATATTTAGCATATTTTTTTTTACATCTTTTTTTAAATTATTGCTGGAACATGCCAGCAAATTTCAATCCATTTAACATACAAGATTTTCATAGGGTTTCATACTGCATGCATGCATGTATTTACATGTACACTGACATGTCAGAATGAATATCAGAGATAATGTAGAATGACATTTCTCCTTTCTGAAGATCATTTTATAAATTGGAATTATATTCCAGCTTAATTCTACTGCACAAGTACTACATGTACGTCATGACAGCACCAAAGTGGCCACACAATTGATCTTCTACAGAACAGAGATCCATCATAATGGCTAAACGAATATCTAGGTCAGTCCAATTCCGAAGGTCAGTTTGAGCAAGAAATTTGACCCGAGCGCCTTTTTAGTGGAGTGAATTTAATATTCCCATGCCCGTTACTTACACCTGCCCTCTCTCATAATAGAGTTTGACAAATTTAGACTTCCATATCTGACGTCAATGGTCATATTTTATTCATTAAAAAGGAAAAAAACCTCAGCATAGAATTTCTATGTCTATTTGAACTGCCGATGTACAAGGTACAGGTATATTACATGTATGCCGTTACAGATCTGGCTACACAGGAGTATTTGCCTCAAATTATACATTTTCAATTCTTCAATTTAAAGTTTATGAAACGTATTTCAATTTTTGTTTCTTCTTTCAAAAAAAAAGAATTATCTGAAATTTTCCATCATCTAATTCACACGGTATATTTGTGTATTTTTGATAGATTTAGAATTGTACTCTTCTCTGGAAAAAGCACTACAAAATCTGCAAGCTACATGTAACCTTTAAAACACTAGATCTCAAATAAAATATGTCGATAAAAAAACTCTAGTGTCAGTCCCCACAATATGTAGAGTGTATTATGCATGCTGCTACTGCCAGTACTGAAATTGAACACAGAAATTCCTCTTGGTGACCTTAAGGTGACCTCAGAGTGACCCAACATTGACCTTGAGATGACCAGACAGGGATTGAGGGCTGAAGGTTGGTGTGGGATTACACCCTCAGGGGCAGAGACAGATAAGCCCATCAGAAGTCTGCATTCTTTGGAAGTGAGGAGCTTTTAGTGACTGTGACCTCTAAAGGTCAAACTCCATGAATCACTGCAGGGGGGCTTAGTGGTTTCAGACCTTTTGGAGTTGGCAGGTAAAAAAAAACCAAGGAAATTTTCATCCTCTTTATTAAGGCTGACAAAGGAAGAAACTACAACTAGCTTGGCTGCAGTGAGGGGCTTTACCTTTTACAAATACATCCTGTTCATGGCTCTAATTCTTTGCAGTTTCATACAATAGTTTATTTTCCCCATCAAAACCTCACGCCATCACTAAATTAACCATTACACATTACCCCCACACTCCCAACCATTCTGTCTATTTGTAAGCATCTCCCCCTCTCTCTTTCTCTCTCCCCCGCCTCCTTTGTTCTCCCTCTTTCTCTCTCTCCCTCCCCTTCCTAATATATCCCCCTCCTCCTCCCCCCCCCCCCCCCCCCCCCCTTTCCCCCTTTCTCTGTCTGTCTCTCTCTCTCTCTCTATCCTCAGCCAACTTTCTAAGAAAGTGCTGGAGGCTCTGTCAGGAACAAGATGGTATTCATGAACTCCAGGATGTGTTTTGTTATGCAGCAGGGCACTATTCAAAGAATGCTATTCAGCAGGGTTCAAGTATCAACACAACAGACTGTGTCTCTATTTGCACTTGGACCAGTTCAGAGCAGGTAGAACATGTCAAGTGTTTTAAAGTCAAAGACAAAGATGGCTATAATCTAGAGTCTAGTCATGCTAGTTTCAACATGCTACTACAAGTACAACCAAACAAGTAGGTCAGTAAATGCAACATAGAGAAAAGAAAGGAGGGGAAAGGAGAAAAAATGTGATGGCAAAAAGTAAAATTTAAAAAGAATGGATCTTTGATATTTACCTGCCAACTAGGATCAGCAACTTGGTAGTACTTGAAGTTTTCCGTTATCCATTTGTAGATCGATGACAGAGTGATCTTGTGTTTCTTGGACTCTTTCATAGCCATCCATATGAGAGTCGAGTAAGAGTACGGAGGCTTAATGCTCGAGTTCGTCTTGTAGTCTATCTTTTGGTCCAGTTGGACAGGACTCTGATGAAGATGGTGGTGATTGTGATGGAGATGGTTATGTGACGACACCTTTGAGATCTTGAACTCGGAATGCGAGTGCTTGTGATGAGAGTTTGAGATCTTGACGATGCCGTTGCCCCCCTTGTGGATCTGCAGGGCGCTCTTGATGCTGTTTTGGATTGAGAGCGGGGTGGGGCTGCTGGGAGGGGTGGGGTGCTGGATGCGCATGATGCGAAGGTTCTGCAACCAGTTCAGACTTGTCAGACTGTCGTCCAGATTGTCTTCTTTGGGTTCTATCTTTGGGATTTCCATGACGGGCTGGTTCTTGATGATCCAATTTTGTTTGAATTTCACAGCAGCCTCTTTGGTGCTCAGCAAGGGGATGGTGACGGTTGCGACTTTGGCAGCAGCCATCTTGGATTGTGGTTGTATCCTTGTGAAGCAAATCAATTTATGGCCAGTTTCCTTTCCACAAATTCCTGTAAGAAAAATCATCATGACTTGACATTAATATATAAGTACCACATTTTTACCCGTTAGCTGTAGACCTACACAATATATGTCATAATCTCATATCATAAGAAAAGCCCTAGAAGTCTACCCCACCCACTTTTTTAGTTTATGAACAGCACAATTTATAAAGCTAGCAAATTCAAAGTTGACCTCCAAGTCTAACGCTCCCACTGTTTCCCAGTATTAACACTAACGCTTGTAAGTTGTACGCTTGTAATAGACTATTATAAGGCAGTGGGCCTATTAAAAACAAAATTAACACGATTTGATTTCTTTTAGCTTGAAAAAAAAAATCACAATATTTGTTTACCTCAGCCACAGAAAGCAAGTTAAGTCATTCACTCACAAACCATTCATCAACCCCATCCAACTTTATTATGCAAGACATTAGTAGCTAGCTAGCCTGGCCACATGTGCGCATGCACTTTGTTTACATGTTGCGCGCGTAAAGCGGAAGTTATTGTGCGCGTATTTGCGCGCATTGTCATTGTCTCAAAACTAGTTCAATGACGTCACTGACTAACAGGTGGAAACAGGTGCTTTCCCTAATTATCATTGGAGATCTAGGGATGCAGTCAAAAATCTGCTTACGGTTTGGCATTTGAATAAATTAATTACATAACCATTGCTAAACTTGACAAAATGACACGATAACAAATGATCAATGAGATTATCATGCTTATGGTTAAAGGAAAAAAAATGAAGACAAGGAAAACATCAAAATTATGAATACAACAAATGTAAAGAATAGTTGTGTAGCTGATAAAATCAATGTTGGGTGAGCTAGAATTTGGTAGATAACATCTAAATTAGAAAAGTCAGTGAGTAAACAAATGTAAACAACTAAAGTCCCTCGTGTCTCACACTGTCACAGTCACAGTTTAATAAAATAACTTACCAAAATTGACGAAGGCGAATTCGGAGGCACCAAATTCACAAAGTTGCAAACACAAGTGAAATGGCTTCTTCGTAGTAGAATTATATATAAAATCCTGAATTAATCACAGTTTGAAGGCAAAGTGGACAGTGAAAATGAGTGGTCAAAACAACCACTTGTTATGATGGTTGCTGCGATGGTGCAACAGGTCGTGGCACAGTGGTGGTATTGTATGCCGGTATAGGTCCAAGCCCATTGGCGCGAGACAGAATTTTGTAGGCGTCCGAATGCGACCCAGTCAGCTGGTAGACTGGGGATCGAGGAATCATAATACACATCAACATGTGAATGAAGCATCACGTCGCCACGTAGCAACAGCGTAAACCATGATCAACAACCGTAAGCGGGCTTCTCATTGGTCGACTCGCCGCTGCACAGCTCAGGTATAGGGCTTCGCAAAGTGGATCGACTTGTCTTGCTTGCAGAACCTCTCTGCTCGAAATGAGAAATAAACAAATGAGACTTTCGCCAAAATTATAGCAATTATCAATGAAAAACGAGACCTTATATTCACCGCATTATACCCCCACGTAATTAGATGGAAATTAATGCTAAGAAGTATTTCTACTCTCATTTTTTCATTCTTGGTTAACGATGGCAGAAATTAAGGCGGTCTCGAAAGTAGAATAGTATTAATAGTGCAACACCACATCCTGCATTTTATAGCATCGGGAGAGATAATTCAACAAATTAAAAATGTATATCTTTTCGTCGAAAGCTATCATCATCTCACCTCCTCAATCAATCTCATCTCAAATTAATGGAATTAGTAGCGAAGAGAGATCCTTGTAATTAGCCAAATTTACCTGATATCAAATTTTGACAACGCTACCAATAGGAAATCTAAAAGAAACCATTGAAATCCGTGAAACACAAGAAGCTGTCATGGAGGAAACCATCGTTACATTTAAAAGACTTTATATGTGTCTTCTTTTTTATATAAAGAATTTGTCATTAACAGAAAACGTATGTGGTTGAGTATATTTGGGAACTCTTTACAATCAGAAAATGTGACGCAATGAACTGGGAATGAACTACCAATATTCTGTAGACCCTGGACCATGCGTAGTTTTGAACCCTGCCCTTTGATAACAGACGAACTATAAAACAATACGAAAACGAAAATCCGGATTCCGAAGTCCACAAGATAATGTTGGTTGAAATCTATTCTAAGATAAGATATATTATGTCAAACGAAACGAATGTTGAATCATTGAATATGTCTTCTGTGTTTGATATTTCTTTATAAAGATGTTCAAAATATACTTCTTAATTGTCAAACGTCTATTCAGGCTCAACAAATTATTGGCTATTTTCTATCATTTTGAAGTTGACCGACCCTCCCCCCCCCCCCCGTTTTTCTGATTTTTGTTTTAATAAATTTGTTCTTCTGTCCGTCATCTCAATGTTTTTTTTAATAAATAGCCTTTCTCTTTCCTATTTCTCGTCCTCTCTATCTGCCCCTCCCAACTCCTCCCATCCCAAACATCTTTCTACACCCCCTCCCCTTCTCTCCCTCACCCTCTCTCTCTCTCTCTCCCTCTCTCTCCCTCTCTCTCTTTCTCTCTTTCTCTCTCTCGTATGACATAGGTGGATACAGACCGATCAGTTACCGCACGTCGCTCACTGAAGGCAGAAGACTAAAAACAAATATGTATATAGTGACAGGAGAGTGCTTCGAGAGTGAGAGACTTGAAGAAAAAGAAAAGAGACAAAAGCAAAGCAAATAGACGCAATTAGAACACAAGTATTGCAAAAATAGAAGCAAACGTCACATGAAGCAGCATGCATCACCTCAATACCACATCTCTTCATCATGTATACACTATCGACACTATACCGTTTATACGTGCTCTGATGAAGGCTGGAGTGAGGATTTAAAGATAAAGTTGAGTTCTAGCCATGCAATTGCATTGTGAAAGAAACGGTGTGGAATCGATCAGAAAAGGTTGTTCATCTCGCATATAAGTATCGGTGTGTACTGCCAGGTTCTGGAATCATCAAAATGATAAGAAATCTGGCCCAGTTTTGGTAAAGTTACAAGCACTGTACACAGAAATATGTATATGGGACTACACTAACATGTGGCATAAAAATCCGTCCCGATCGTTATGCTGTTACATGCCATATTTAGAATATTAAGACGTTTGAAGAGCCATTCTTTTCAGGGAACATTTTTTAGCTGATGTTCTTCCACACTTGCATAATACAATGATAACGCTCACAAATTATTTTTCACCTCTTCCCAGAACTCAACCTAATTCTCTTTAAGCCATCCTCATTTAAGCCATCCTCATCAGTTTCACCTATCTCCTTTTCAGAAGCCGATTACTTTGACCTTAATTATCATTGGTTGACTGACCGCATAGTTCCGGGTCAATGTCGGGTATTATCAATAGCAATCGATGCGATTGCTATTATCTTGCTTCACCAGTGAGTGCAATTGTTCAATACCTTCATTAGGAGTTCATCTTGATTGATTGGGCGTGTAGAGGAAGAAGGTCAAGTTCACGCAGGTATTCCCCTGGAATCACTGGGTCACGATCTTGCGAATTAGATGCCATGTTGAATCTGTATATAAGATTTTCCAAAGATCACGTTTTTAATTTCCTCTTTAATTTTTTTCCATATTGCGAAGAAAGGGAAGAATACTAACATTCTTCTTTTCTCTCATCCACGCCCTTTCTTTTTGATACTCTCTCTCTCTCTCTCTCTCTCCCTCGCTGATTTCGTAGAAATCGGAGTTCTCGATCACTTCCATTTCTCGTCCTTTCACTCATTATGTGTGCGCCCCCCCCTCTCTCTCTCTCTCTCTCTCTCTCTCTCTCTCCCTCTCTGTTTTCATCCCCCTCTTAGCTCCCACTATATAAATATCCCCTTTCTACAGTAATAACATGACAATATTAGGGCATTCACTCATATCCTTCTTCACCATCCTTCTTGATACGCAATGCCATGTAATCAAAGAAAGATATATTGATAATTGCATGTTTCATTAATTGTTTCGGTCTCAAATTCAATATACGATGTTTCGATTTATAAGGAGTGCTTCTCCCCCAGTTTGAGTTCCCTCCAATACCACTTACCTTGCAATTACTATACAATTTCGGCCTCCTCTGTACCTTGCATCGGTTTTGAAATTGCCCTCACTAAGATTGATCTTTTGTGCACAGTGTTTTATTTTTCTGATTAAAAAAACTATATCTAAAAAGAAAATTATGTTTTCACGATAATCAAATTAATATAACATAATCAATTGACATTATGTATTCAAACTCATACGTATGATTATAACAATCGTACATTATACCGAAATACATTTTAAATTAAAATTAGCATACCGGCATAATCATGTGAATAGTATTACATGTAATGGAGGTTTATTGAACAGTCGATTGTGAATTGATACCATGTCAATCTTAATTTAAGTGTCTGGTGTTTTCTACCGAATTGTGATTCAGGTGAGGAATAAGTGCCCCTATTAACGTCAACGAACAATAATCCTTAACTGTATTAATGTCTTAGGGAAATCAATGACGTATTTTGATGAAGACTGGCAGGTAAGTCTCAAAACAATACCTTTCAGAACAATTAATGGAGATCAAGTGTCTCTGAAACGTTGATAGAATGACATTATTTGTAAAGAAGATCAAAAACCCTACTCGCAGAGTGTTATCGCAGATCAATATCACTACATGTATCTTTGTTAATCTCTTCGTGCTTATTTGGGGGATTAGAGAAGACCAGGTAAAAAGGTATCGAAGACTTTGAAATGTGCGATCGTGACGATGATATCATACTACATAATCCGGACACAATTTAGACACAAGAGTACTGGATCAAGCTGAAACTGATTAATCTTGAACGACTTTGAGAAGGTGGTTTTATTCAAAAATCGATACGTTTCTCCTAAATCATTGGTGGTGTTATTATCTCCCAGGTATACTATATGAACGACGGATTATGTCTAGTTTCTTTGGTTTCATTTCGCTTCAGACCAGTGAATACTAGTGAATGGAATATCTCCAGTAATCCGGGAGGGGACCAACGTGAATCATAAAAGGGCGTCCGTGTTATAGGACAATAATCATTGGTCCAAACACTTGGCCTATCCTTTAATTGTGAATGCATGTCCAGTTTCTTTTATACAAGGAGATAAGCCTTCATCCTATACACCATCGATTATCTTCACAATAAGACAAAATGACGTGAAACGACAAGTAGTGTGGGTAGGTGTGTGTGTGTGTGTGTGTGTAAAGGTGCGTGTATGTGTGTGTGTGTGTGGGGGGGGGGATTCATGCCTCAGGGGCGTATCTAGTTTTTTGCCAGGGGGGGGGGGGGTGGTTAACCCAGTGGCGGATTCAGGATTTTCCAAAAATCGCGCCGTTTTACTGTTTTACTTTTTGTTCTTCTTTTTTTCTTCTCCTTCCCCCCTTTTTCTCACTTGGCCGCCCAAGGGGGGTTAAACCGCCGACCCCCCCCCCCCAACTAGATCCGCCCCTGGGCCTAGGGTGGATTTCCAACTATATTCAATTTTGACTGGGAGTGCTAAGATTCAAATGTTCATAATGTCAATATAATTTACTTGACATGGCTAGGGGTACAATGAAGATTTAAAAAATTCACCTAAGATGCAAAATTAGAATTATGTGGTGTTTCATAGTTCTTTCCTGTCATACAAGGGGTATGGTTATCCCGATGTAATCCAAAGAGAATCTGGGCCCGTGTTAGCTTATAAAGAGTCTTACAAATTCGTAACTTGAAATTGATCGCAACTGCTATCCATTAAGTACAAAGTTGCATTTTGCGATTGTTTTGAATCAATCGCAACTTTATACGACACAGGGCCCTGGTGTAAAAAATGAAAAATGAAAACATCTTTGCAAGGGAAATCAAAAGAAAATTCATTACTGACATGAGAACTATATTTTGATTGTGAATGTGTTCGAAAGTCAAGGAATATGTATATTTTACTGGGGTTACCCTAGCAACTTGTCCTGTTGAAATAAACTATAAAATTGAAAGTTCGTATATAGGTTAACATTTGCACGATGAACGTAAAGCATATCTCTTTTTTTATCTTCTTCAAGAGTCTATTGGCGTATTAGACCGAATGGACAGACAGAAGAAGATAATGACCGACCTTTGAAGTGGATGTGATTATGTCTGAAGTGGCTCAAAATCATGGTCCAACTCACACGGTACTTTAGGGGGTACGACAGGTGGATGTACTTGAT